TAAAATATAATTATTATTTTATTTTATTATTAATTTATATAAAATAAAAATAAAAATTAACCAGTGACCGGTGGTATCCTTGGTTAGAAATTGACTGCGGGTGAAACAGTTGCTTGCGGTTTTCACCATCCTGTGGTTAAGTTCGGATTCCTGTAGAGAAAAAATGGAATGCAGAAAGAAAGTAGAAATAGAGAGACTTGTGTCTAATCACATATTCATTTTATGAAATTATATTAAAATTAAAAAAATACCACAAAAGCATTTTTTTTTTCCTTGAAAAGCTTCTCAAAATCAGTGAGTTCAAACACAAATCTTGAAATCTTTGCGTCTTCTTTGATTACTTCTTTGACAATAATATTAAGATGAAATTGAATCTTGTAGTTGTTATAAGAGACAATATGATAGGTGTTCTTATTCTTTTCCACGGAATAATTTTTCACGTAATAAACATTCTCTTCAATCGACTTATTCTTAAATCGCAAAGTATTAAAACTCCAAATGATAGCATGAATAAAATATTTCTGCAAACAAATAGTTATTGTTAATAGAAATTGTTAAATACATAAAAGACTAAATGTAATAATTTATAAAATTACCTTCTCATCAACTAAAACCATTTCAGTAGTGAGATGGTCTCTATCACATTTTAAATTAAAAACATCACACAATCTATATTCGCACTTTAATCTTTCAATCTTTTTTATCGGGTGAAAGTTGATCAAGAAATATATATTCTATATCTCTTGCAATTGATTTACCTCTACATAACAAAATATTTTAAAATTAGAGAAGAAATGTAACATAATTGGAGAAAAAAGAAATTGATGCTTAAAATCAAATACTTATTCATATTGAGAAAATGTAATCCAAGCAACTATAACTTGTAATCAATTTTTGGATTTAGGAAAATCTCTAAAATAAAACAATAGTGAAAAAACTTTCACATAAATATAGAGACTTTAAATAATAGACACTTGACCCTTCAAGTTTTAACTTTCATTAGTTTTTTTCCTTTTTCATGTAAAGAAACCAATAAATTTATTAATAAAAAATAATAATATGGTAGTTAGAAACGTCCAATCATGAATGGTAGATTATAAAATTTATTTGCCTTGGTAATTGAAAATAATTTAAATGCATGGTATGTTAATTGTTCATTATTAATATTAATATTGAAAACATTTGTTTATTCTTAGGTAGATGAAGAGGCAGGATCATTTTTTTTCAACATATTAATTAGTAATATTTAAAATGCTAAAATGATTAGTTGTTTTCATGGATTTAATTTCAATCTCTTGGCTATAAATGCGAATTGGAAGGGGGTGGGTTAGTAGCAATTAGAAATGTCCAATCATGAATAGTATATTATAAAATTTATTTGTTTTACTAACTGAAAATAATTTAAATGCATGATATATTAATTATTTATTATTAATATTTATATTGAAAAGATTGGTTTATTCTTAGATGGATGAAGAGTCGAGATCATTTTTTTTTCAACATATTAATTAGTAATATTTAAGACCATTCATTTTTTTGGTAGATGAAGAAAGAAAAAACAAATGGAAGTTAGAACTTTAATGATCAAGTAACTTATATGTTAACTAATAATATTTAAATTGCTAAAATGATTAGTTGTTTTCATGGATTTAATTTTAGGCTCTTGGTTATAAATGCCAATGGGAATGTGGTGGGGCTAGTGTGGTGGGGTAAATATAAAATGCTTACCCTATTTAATGCATAGGGTAACATTATATGTATATATATAGATTACTTATTATCAGTGGATGTCATGGCTTTAGAGGTAATAAATAAACAATTGTTGATGCCAACATTGGCAGTATATATATATAAATTACGGCAGTAAACCCAAGAAAGAAAGAAAGAAAGAAAGAAAGAAAGAAAGAAAGAAAAGAATCTACTATATGTCAGGTATCTGATGTTCCGATAGATATAGCCGGATATCAAGGAGATGAATAAGGAAATTAATCAATCAACATTAATCTCTAATATTTTGCTGTTCATACCGGTAAATGCATTCCCTGTATAGAGTCACTAATTTAGGCTTGATTATAGCTGACAGTTTGTATATATGTATATTGCAATCACAATAAGATATATGCTTTCATGCGCATATCACTACCATTCATATTTTGATTTTATCATGGTATCAGAGCAGTGAGGGCTTAACTGACAGCAAGAGTTTGCTGCAAATAATTGATTTTGACGGCAAGGTTTTGCTACGTTCAACAATCAACAATGACTAACACTACAACCAAGAATGGATCCAAAACAGAAAAGAGAGAGATAGAAATCCTTAAGACAATAGATCCAGATTCACCCTATTTTCTCCATTCCAGTGATGATCCAGGGAGGGTCTTAGTCACGACTCCCTTGACCGGGGAGAATTACCACATGTGGAAAAGGAGTACGTAGAATGCCTTATTTGCAAAGAACAAGATGGGGTTTGTTGATGGGAGCCTTAAGAAACCAAACACAAATTCCCCAGAGTATCAAGCTTGGACAAAGTGCAATGTTATGGTGCTTTCATGGTTACTTAATGCTCTTTCAAGGGACTTGCAGGGAAGTGTGGCCTATGTGGAGAATTCTGTTAAGGTTTGGAATGACTTACATGAACGTTTTTCACAAGGAAATGCATCTCGGGTACATGAATTAAAACTTGAACTTGCAACCACCACACAACAATCAAGATTAGTAGCAGCATATTTCACAAAATGAAAGCCTATATGGGATGAGCTACAAGCAAATGAGCCTTTGCCGACATGCACTTGTGGTTGTACATGTGGTGCAGCAAAGGAGTATATGAAAACACGAGAAATAGAGAAAGTCCATCAATTTCTCATGGGATTGAATGAGAATTTTTTATACTATTCGATCACAGAACTTAAGCACAGAACCCTTCCCATTACTGAATAAGGTGTATGCAATGACTACCAAAGAGGAGAAGTAACAAGCAGTGGCTGAATCTAGAAGTCCAATTATAGAAGCAATAGCCCTGGCTGCAAAGATGAACCACACTAGCAAATCTTCCATGTCAAGGAAGCCACGTTGTGATCATTGCAAGAAGGTTGGTCATACTAAAGAGAGATGCTATGAAATCATTGGATACCTAGTTGGTTGGAAGATAGGGCCAACCAAAATGAAGGGAAAGGGGGAGCAACAAAAGCATCAACATCAGGAGAATGAGTTGATTTTTGTAGCCAATACATCACATGAGTCATAGATGGTAGGAGATTCACTGGATTAATCACCAATTGCAGGACTTTCTAAAGTGTAGTATGATCAACTCCTCATGCTTCTTGGTGGTAATTCTACTTCTAAACATTCCGTCAACCTAGCTGGTAAGGCAACAAACTTAATTCCTTGGATAATTGATGGTGGTGCATCAGACCATATGACACCTAATACTTCCATACGTCAAGACATAAAACCTTACTCTTCTCTAGTTCATATTCGTAATGGCACCACCTTAGAAGTGTCTAGTATAGGAAAGACGGTATTGCCAAACAAACTTACATTGAACAATGTACTTCATGTTCCTCAATTTGCATGCAATCTCTTTTCTATTAGCAAGATAACAGAGCAACTTAATTGTGTTGTGATCTTCTTCCTGACTTTTGTTTTTTTCAGGACCTAGCCTTGAGGAACTTGATTGGAATGGGTAAGCTTCGCGAAAGGCTATACTATTGTGACTTTGGGCATGTTGCTGCAACAAGTCACACTAAGCAAAAGGAGGACACATCCTCAGAGCTGTGGCATCAGCGACTAGGCCATGCATCCATAGAAAGAATAGCCAAAATAATTTCTTTGCTTACATGTTTAAGCAAAATAAAGCATGTTTGTGACACTTGTCATCGTGCCAAGCAAACAAGATTGCCTTTTGCTATTAGCAATAATGTCTCTACCCACTGTTTTGCCTTAGTCCATTGTCATATATGGGGTAGGTATGCCACTCAATCTAATACAGGAGCACACTATTTTTTAACTGTTGTTGATGATTTTTCACAATGCACATGGGTTTATCTTCTAAAGCACAAATCAAAAGCTGCATCATATTTGATAAGTTTTTGCCATATGATTGAAACTCAATTTCAAACTAGTGTCCAACAGATACACAGTGACAATGGCAAAGAGTTCACTGAAGGAGTTGTGAAAGAATTTTGTTTTAAGAAAGGTATCGTACAACAAACATCATGTGCCTATACGCCTCAACAAAATGGCATTGTTGAGTGTAAACATCATCACCTCCTTGAGGTTGCACGTGCCTTCAGATTTCAAGCTAATTTACCCTTGAAATTTTGGGGTGAATGTGTTCTCACTGCAGCTTATTTAATAAATTTAACTCTTACGCGTGTTCTCTCGGGTTTCACACCATTTGAAAATTTTTTTGGTAAAGCTCTTGGTTATTCACATTTAAAAGTGTTTGGGTGTCTTTGCTATGCTTATAACCACTCCAAGAATCATGGAAAATTTAACTCTAGAGCATCAAATGTATTTTCATCGGTTACCCTTATGGACAAAAGGGTTATAGAGTTTATGATTTGGAAACTAATCAAATTTTCATTTCACGTGATATAGTTTTTTATGAGAAAATCTTCCCATATGCATCTATTAATAATTATAAAGATTGTGTGGCTTCACCTTCCCCTGGTATCACGCCACCCAACTTGGAGACTCATTTTTTGGCTTCTGATGATAGTGTCTTAGATAACACCATTGATAACCAAAACAAGTTTGAAACAATGGAAGAAGCACAAGTTGCCGACATTGATTTGGAGACCAATACAAACCATCCAGAACAAGTAGTCCGAACTCCTCAACCACAACGTGAGAAGCGTGTTTGATGATTATGTTTGCACCATGCCCCAGTCTGTTATGCCTACGCAAGCTCCATCTCAATCAACTAACTCAAGTGATCCCTATGCTTTATCTAATTGTGTCTCTTACAATTCTTTTTCATCCACTCATCTTAGTTATTAGCAGCCATCTCTTCCATAGATGAGCCTAAATCCTTTTCTTAGGCCATTAAACATGAAAACTGGCGAGAAGCAATGAGGCAGAAGGTTGCTGCACTTAAGAAGAATGGCACTTGGACGATTGAGACATTGCATCCTAACCAACGTGCAATTGATTCAAAATGGGTCTATAAGATCAAATTCGAGCCAGATGGAACTGTTGAATGGTACAAGGCTCGACTAGTAGCGAAGGGATTCACTCAAATTGAAGGGCTTGATTTTCATGAGACCTTTGCTCTTGTTGCTAAAATGGTCACTGTGAGAACATTACTAGCTCTTGCTTTGATTAAGCACTGGAAACTGCATCAATTAGATATCAATAATGCCTTCTTGCAAGGTGACTTACATGAAGAGGTATATATGAAAATACCACAAGATTTTACTTGCAACCAGAGCAACAAAGTTTGTAGGTTTCGGAAATCACTTTAGGGACTATGACAAGCATCTAGGAATTGGTTTGAAAAGTTTACAACCTTTCTTGAAGTAGTTGGGTTTAAGCAATCAAAGGTAGATTATTCCTTATTCATATTGGCCATTGCTGATAGTTTTGTTGCAGTATTAATTTATGTTGATGATATTGTAATCACCGGCAATGATGGAGCAAGAATTGTAGCCTTAAAATGTTATCTTCATTTTGCATTTTCTATAAAGGATTTGGGTCCCCTAAAATATTTTCTTGGAATTGAGGTAGCTAGAACAACAAAAGGGATAATTTTGAGCCAGCGAAAGTATGCTCTCAACATACTCATGGAATCAAGCATGCTTGGGGCAAAGCCTAGTTCCTTTCCCATGGAGCAGCATCATCGTCTCGGGCTTGCATCTGGTTCACCTATACTAGATCCTTCACAATACAAGAGGTTGGTTGGTCAGCTCCTTTACTTGACAATAACATGACCAGACATATACTATTCTGTTGGAATCTTGGCACAATTCATGGAGGAACCCAAACAAGAACACTTTGATGCAGCAATGAAAGTGTTACGTTATGTTAAGAACTCATCGGGACAAGGGATATTGCTCTCCTCTTCCAGTCCTTTACATCTTGTTGCTTATTATGATGTAAACTAGGTTGGTTGCCCACAGACACAGCACTCAACAACAAGTTGCTATATTTGGCTCGGACACCCCCGTGTTTCCTAGAAGTCGAAAAAGCAATCAATTGTCTCTCGCTCTTTCGCTTAAGCTGAGTATAAGGCCATGGCATCAACTATTAGTGAGCTCACTTGGTTAAAGTCCTTACTTTATGATCTTGGGATATATCACTCGAAGCCAATGACATTGTTTTGTGATAACCAAGCTACCTTACACATTGCCAATAATCCTGTGTTTCATGAGTGCACAAAAAATATTGAGATAGATTGCCATTTTGTTCGTGAACGCATTCAAAGGAAGGAGTTGCTCACGGCTCATGTGCCTTCTCATTGTCAACTAGAAAATTTGTTTACAAAGGCATTAGGCAAGGAACGACTTCATTTCTTATTATGCAAGTTGGGCATTAGAGACCTTCATGCTCCAACTTGAGGCGGAGTATAGTCGGATATCAAGGAGATGAATAAGGAAATCAATGAATCAACATTAATCTCTGATATTTTGCTGTTCATACTAGTAAATGCATTCCCTGTATAGAATCACTAATTTAGGCTTGATTATAGCTGACAATTTGTATATATGTATATTGCAATTACAATAAGAAATATGCTTTCATCCGCATATCACTACCATTCATACTCTGATTTTATCAATAGAATGTGCCCGTGTGTGTGATACTAAAAAGCAGGGTGTGATATCTAGTTGAAAAATAGTGTATGTGTGCATATAAGAAGTATGAAATGTAATGTACGATTCATGAATAAAATATTACTTTTGCATATATGATGACTTCGCTTCACTAGTATCTTTTTTAGGCAATTAAGCTTGTATAATTGGTTCTTCTGCTGGAGAGTGGGGTAAGACTCGCAAGTACCAAGACTCGAACATTGGCGAACTAGACGGAGAAGAACCTTTCTTCTCTATGTCCAGCCATCAGGCCATCCAGAGCTCCAGTGTCCTATTGATTCCCAATCACTTCTTAATAGTTCATTTTCTTTCAGAAGAAAAAAGAAAATCTCCAAAATGAATTTGCGTAATTATCAACCAATAACCCATTTTTTTAATAAATAATCATAGATTTTATTGAACTAAATAAGTACATCAAAAGAGCCCATAATCATTGCCTTGAGAGCCTCTAAACACTAAGAATATTGTCAGGCTTTAATTAAAAATGTTGTCAAGCTATAAAAGAGTTACCCTTATTGAGCATCCAGAATCTTTAAATAGCTCAACCTGCAACACCAGAAACTAGAAGAGAGCAAATGAAATCACTGTAATAATGTGATGTACTGGATCTTACATCAGAGTAGAAGTGTGGGTTGTTGACAAAATGTTATAGCCGTTTACATGGACTTGACACGTGGAAAAATTATTTCACCGATCTAATTAGTTGTGGGTTAGCATTTGATTTGATTGAAATCATGCAAAATTGCATGATGACCTCATTTGATGAGGTGCAGAAATTATGCATGGGTGTTTGGCATTTTTCTCCATAAATACCCATGCATGCAAAGGCAAGGGTAGCAAGCAAGAGAAATTGAGAAGAGCCAAGTGAGTGAGGCCTCTTGTAAGAGAAAACAAAGAGAGAAATTATGAGGTAATCATTGTAAAGATTAAGAGAGAGCATTAGGGACAATTTGAGAGGCTTTATATATTGAAATTAGGGTTTTGAGAACTTTTTAATGAGAAAGTTTTTAAATTATTGTATTTTTTTTTAATAATAGATTTATTTCTCTTTTTCTTATGAACATAAACTTATTAAGAAATATACAAATCAAATCATGTTAAATTATATCTTAAATTATTTATCGCTTTCGTTTGTGTGAGATTGTGATGCTTAAAATTCCCAACATAAATATGATTGATATATATTTGTCATAACCAATCATCACCAGTATTTTGAACTTGAGCTTTTAAGACCCATAAACCTTACCCCAAAGAGTTCTTACACCAGTGCCCCCTCCATAATCTAACCAATTATCCGATAGGTGGTAGAGACTCATCCACCAGCATTGCAAAGGTTGTGCCCGAATTGTCCACTAAATCCTTCGATCCTTGGCCTTATTCAAGCTCCCAGCACTAGATTTTCACTTCCTACTTCTTGCTCGGTGATGTGAGTAATCCTCTGCCTAATGTCTTTCAGGTACCCTTTGTGCCTAACTTGGAAAACCTACCTATTTAAGCAAGAGGTACATCCACCAATAAAGAGCCTGAAAGTTCTTGAGATTGTGTATTAACAGCATTCTCAACTAAAAATTCCTTACCATTATTCGCAATAGAAATCTACTTGTCTTGGCTCTCATAATTCAAAGCCACCTCAATTCGCAAGGGTCTTTTCCCCTTGCTAATCTCCTGCCTCTTCTTCTACATTGTTTCCTCCCCAAAGCCACAGGCTTCCACTATCTTCTTCTTGCCCTTACCCACACTCCTTAAAGCACTATGCTCCTGAGCTAAAGATTCCTGACTGATAGATAATCCACATTCACTAAGCTCAAATGGTCCCCAAACAGCCAAATTTGCATGAAGCCACTCTCCAGTCCATACTGCTTTAGAATCTTGTCTCCACTTTCCTTCATCTTAAAACCCCAGCTCACAATCAAAATCAGTATGCCCCACATAACCATATATAGGTGTAACAAAAATCAGGCAATCTCGCGTATTTAATATACTGCCGTCTGGTTTCTGTAGCAGAAACCTGAGTGGTAGTGAACCTTCTCAATGAGATTCCCACAAGCATACTGATCCGAGCTCTTAAAGCAGGACGCACCTAGCATACAGTAAAGGGGCTTTTGAAAAATGTTAACCAACGTCCTTTAGTTTTTATTTATTATAACATTGTTTTTTTTGGTTTCCCGTCCGGTATCCGGGGCTTCGCCCCGACTACTCCGGATTCGACCAGCTGTGGCGCACCAGAATGGTGGGTGGGTCTCCCAACGAATGCTGCTGCGTACACAAAGTTTCGAACTCGAGACCTTACTTAAGCTGAAACAAGTCGCTTGCCACTTGATCCAATCATTCGTCGGTTTATTATAACATTGTTGTAAATAGAGTTTTAAAACCCAAAATGCTGTTTGATTCGTTTTGGTCACCATGGTTAGTTCAACCGCTTAGACTCGTTAAATCAATTGATCCAACCAATTAACTGAATAAATATTATTAAATTTATTTTACTAATTATAAATTAATTTTAATTTTAATTTGATTTTCATTCATTTCATTGATTAAAATAGTTATTTATTTTATTTTTAAAATTGAATTGATTTGGTTTTAAAAAGATTCCATTCTTTAATTTAAAATAAAAATTTTAATTCAAATTAATTTTATTTTTTTAAAATTGATTTAAATTACATTTAAATTAATTTAAAACTTCTTATTCATTAGTACTCTCAGTTCTAAAATAATAAACATTTTTTATTTTCATCTTAAAATAAACGATTTAAGGATAGTTTTTATTTTTACTTATTTTATCCTTAAAAAATAGAATAAAAATAAAAATATTTTTTTATGATGAGATAAATAATTA